TTCTCTACGTGTGTGGGCGTTTCACTCTAATTATGTCTTTCTCTCTCTCTCTCTCTAAATCTCATGAAATTTCAAATGAATTTCACTTAATTTTTAAAAACTCTACAAGCTTTGCCTTACGAAGGAAATTGTTCGTTCCTCCATTTTTAATGCAACCCAGTGATAAAAATATACCCGTTTAACCCATGAAAAAAAAGATAATAATATGTGCAACGTACTCTTTTTCAACATGGAATTTTTGCTTAACATGACAAACCGTTTTAAAATTGTTATTGATATGTATGTCATTGATAGTTTAGGCTGTTTTCACATTAGTCACTCTTGTAAAATATGTTCAAAGTTTTAAAAAAGCACCCACCTAGATACCTACTGCTAGCTAAGCTACCTACCTACCTACCCACATACCTACCTTCGTCTTTCTATCTGTCTCTGTCTCTCTGTCGCTCTCTCTCTCTCTCTCTCTCTCTCTCTCTCTCTCTCTCTCTCTCTCACACACACACACACACACACACACACACACACACACACACACACACACACACACACACACACACACACACACATTCATACACACATAATATACACTCCTCTCACAAAAACAAAAATCTTAGCTTAAAAGTTATCGGGCGAAAGAAAGAAGCATCTAGATCTATACGTTCTCTCTGACCGTCTAGATCTAGATACTTAATGTTATCAGTACTGTTTGGAGTGAGCGTAGGGCGCTCTCGTGGTCGAGCGGTTATGGTGTCCGCCTCTAATCACAGAATTCTACGAATTCTGTGCCTCTAATTAAGGTCTTGATTTCGAATCTGGGTAGCAACGGAAAATTTTGGAGAAGAAAATTAACCTCGCCTCCTGCTCTCTAACAATGTTATGTCGTCTTCTTTTGTCTCCACTTTCTATAATATCCACATCCCCTCACCTCCTTTGCACCGTCCTCTGGGCTCCTGGCTCTTTCTGTAGCCTTTCAACTGCAACTCATTGGCTCCTTCTTACTGCTGTCTTTCAGCGACACTCCTTACCTTATGGTAGGTAAGATCCAACTCCTAGCCTTCTCAGATAGGCGAAAAATCTTGGATGTCCAACGTGCAAGTTGCGCACGTCAAAGTTCCCTTGGTGGTCCAAAAAATCGGTAAGAGTAGGCTTTGGCCGCCACCTTGGCAAAATTCAAAATTTCCTACTGACTGAAAGTTTAATTTGTCCCGCGTGCTCATATCGTTATGACCTTATTCAGTTGCAAGCACCGTAAATTACTTACCGAAAAAAATTGAGTGTAGCGGAAGGCACTTGATCGCTGTCGTATGCAGGAGACCAAAGTACGATACCTAAGTGGGGAGAAAAATTGTATCAAGCCTTTCTGCTGGGATGTAGTATTCCTTTCAACCCTGATTGTCCCCGACAAACCGAGCAGGAAGTTCGCCTCCTGAAAGATCTGCCATTGTGTCGAATGAAGCACAAAACACCTACATTAAAAAAAATACCAGTCACAGATTAGGAATCGATGCATAGTATATATATA